AATTAGATTTAAAAAAATCTGCCACAACTTATGAGACACCCTGTATCATGCATAAGTTATGAACTAGATTTTACTATGGTGTGTAACGATTAAGTTAACGACCATGTGCACAAGTCACTTAATATTTCGCTTTCTTCCTTTCTTTCTTTCTATGAGATAGAAAATAATAAAAATTCATTGTTATTATTACTATTTGTGTGACTTTATAGGCACAAAAAGTGCAATTGATAGTAACAAGAAAAATATATGACTTGCCTTCTTTCACGTCCGTACTAAAATGAGAGGGAAAGAGAGATAGATGAACGCTCTCCTCCTGCTTCGAAGATTTTTTTTTTTTGAATAGGGCAAAAGAAAAAAAATTCTCTTCTAGGAGCATATATCTGTAGTGGTCCAACTGAATACAGATATAACGACCTTTTTTCATAGCGGACGTTAGTCATACTTTAATTTTGTTTTGACAGACACTATGAGAACAAGGTTTTAATATTTTATGAAAAAATTATATTCAACAGATCTATCTAAGTAAATAACAATGTCTTTTTTCTTCTATATTTTATCAACCAGGTACTAATATCTAATTCGTTCATTTAATTATTTCAATGAGTATCGATTATTCTGCATTTCTCAATGTGTCTGCATCAGTGCCTGCAATATGGCACTATTCAACAGGTCTAGTTTCCCTCTTATGTCTATTATGTGGTTTGTTATCAAATGGTTTCCTTATATTTATATTTATCAGGTAAATCGAATAATTAGTCTATACATATATTTGTGTAATTAAACTTTCTAGAGATCCAAATTTACGACGACCAAGAAATTATTTTATAATCAATCTCGCTATTACTGATCTCGGATTACTTATTTCAAATAATGTACTACATGTTATTGCATCATTTAAAAAACAATGGATATTTGGACAAATAGGTAAACTTATTTATTATTATATTGAAATATGTAGTTGAGAAAATCATTTAGACATGTGATAGGTACCACATGCTAAAAAAATATTCAAATTATAATGAGTTTATTTCTACATTGTAGAATGTCAAATTAAAAAAAAATAAATATTTCTTATCTTATCTAATGATACAAGTACATACTGAATTGAGCCTCTAGAAAATATGAAAATCTAGTCTAAGCCTGTATTCGATGAAATATGTCATGTGCAGAAAAGCTATTTTGTTTCGTTGATGATCACATTTTGATGGGCTAGACCATAGTAGAACTTGAGATAATAGAATATTTATATCTTATATTATTGCAATTAAAAAATGTTCAACGTAGTTTATCTGAATGTTTTTTAACGAACTTCATGCTAATTAAATGTCTGTTAGGACTAATATTTTTCCTCATTAATTATTTTTGAGTCAACAGCATTATATTTAGCGTTAATTGTACCTAAAATGCTTCGTTGTCAATAGAATAAAGAATACAGATTTTCATGTTGATTAAGAAAAAGTACCGATGCGATTTTATAAAAATCTTCCAAGTTCTGACAAAATTATTTTTTGCTTCTATAATAATACCACAATCTTGAGCAAGTGAAAGTCATTAGAAGTCACCTAATTGAGGCATGGGTCTTCATTTATAATGAAATATATTATTTTTATAGTAAACTTATCCTCCGTAATAGAAGATCTTGAGAAATGATACGTGTAACGTAATAAAAGAGTATTCTACATTAATTAATTTCTCAAAATTAGCACCTTAATTATTATATTTATCTCAAAATATGCCCGATTTTCAGAGATTTGAGCTAAAAAAAGCTCAAAAACCTGAAGTCAAGGTTATTTCTGGACTTTTAAAATTCTTAAAATCTTTTTCTAAATCCTCGAAGTCATTTTTGTTTTTTTTTTTGAAAAACTCGTTTAATTAAAAATTATGAAAACAAAAAGGAAGACTGCCCGGATAAATTTCTACGCTTGGACATAATAGAAGTCCTGAGGTCACCTTTTCACAATCGATTAATATGAAACGATGTACGCAACTATAATTTTCATAAGAGATAAAAAAGAAATAGATGCCAATACATTATTGTCTATATTCATCAATGAATGCTCATGCAAAAACAAAAAAGGTGAGTGGGTACTTTTTTGAATAAATTTTGATACAAACAAGATAGAGCGTAGTGGTTTTCATTATTGAATAGAGGAGGTGAAGTCGCGTCGAATCATATATTATAGGTTCTCCTAAGAGGTTTTGTTAAGTTTTTCTTTTTAAATCGAATTTATTTTAAAAACGTACCGGACAAATAGTTCCTATTAACATAAGAATAAAAGCAAAAATATGATTTTTTTTCACAGCAATTGCTTAAAAAATCACCCGAAAATTATGACTAGAATACTTATGAATTCTAAATAATTAAATCTAAAATTCTAGAGCTTGAATAGTTCGGTAGATCTTCCATTGACGATGCGGACACACATTGGATAATTGAAAACTCATTATAGTCACCTCACTGGGTACATTGACTTTTAAAAAGGTCAATTGAAATTCTTAGAAAAAAGATGATCGAAAAAAACTTGTAACATACGATTCAATGTATGTTTATTTTCGCTTTCTACAGGTGAAGACGCTGTTTCCTATCTTGTTTCTATCAAAACTTATTCAAAAAATTTCCCATTCATCGTCTTTTTTGTTGAAATGAGCAGTAGTTCAAAGGCTTCCTTTGTATGAATTCATATTAAAATAGTTATATTAAATGAATAGGTTGCAATTTGTATGCTGTATGTGGTGGTGTTTTTGGTCTTGGTTCGATTGCAACAATGGCAGCTATTTCAATTACTCGTTTAGTAGCAGTAATCAATCCATTTAGTTCATTGAAATTAAGTGGTCAATTTACAATAAGTTTGTATTTTCAGATATCTTTAAAAATAGCAAGAAAAAAAAAAGCATATATGTTTTTATTTAATAGAATGTCTTATATGTAGTTGGTTGTATAGTTCAGTATGGATAATGCCACCATTATTTGGTTGGAATCGTTTTATTTTCGAAGGTTTTGGTACAACATGTACATTTGATTATTTTTCTCAAGGTTATTGGGATCGATTATTTATATTTACATTAGTCACAGGTGGATTTTTAATTCCATTATCAGTCATTATATTTTCATATACATTTATTTTAATTAAATTAAATGGTCGTAGTCGTCATATAATGTTTCGAAATAGTGATGAACAAGATCTTCAATTACAATCAAGACAAGCCAATGATTATGATTTTCAACAAGCAAATTCCTTAACTGATGTACGATGTCAAAGTGAAGCAGCTATAATTTATGAACCAAATGAAAATAATCAAATAACACGAACTGTTCGTCTTACAGAAGCTCGTGCTAGACGTACAGCATTATATGTATGTGCTATATTTTGTACAGCATGGGGGCCTTATGCATTAATGGCTGTTTCATCACAATTTGGTTTTGATCGTTTCATTAATCCATATACAACAGCAATGCTTGGTTTATTTACAAAAACAGCAGCATGTGTTAATCCATTAATATATGCACTTTCATCAATTACCTTTCGTCAACAAATATGTCGTTTTGTAAATTTTATGTGTGCATGCCGACAAACAACTCAGCCTTTATCATAATCTAATCAAGATTTTAAATGAAAACACTTTAACTATTAAATTTAATCGAGAAACAATATCATCCGATTTATCTTAACAATAAATCTAAAAAAAAGTACAATTTTTTTTGTTATTGTCTAAAATTCTGTTCATTAATATATTATTCAATATTAAACAAAAAAGAATCAATTATTTGTTTACTTTTTTTTGCTGCGTTTATATATTTATATAACACCGGAAAGTGAAAAGATACAAAAACAACACACATGCACACACAGGAAAAAGGATTCAACCAATTTCATAATACTGATGATCATCTTCATGAATTTGAGGTTTTTGTAGTAATTGTTCATTTTGTTCATAAGATAAAATAATTTCATTTGATGGTAATGGATATCGAAAAGTACTTAGACGATTTGTTAATAAACTAATTGGTATACTTGGTAAATAAGATGTTTCATTATTTAAACAAAATCGTCGATCATATTGATTATGCAATGATATTTGATGAGATAAATTATTTTTACAAGTTGTATTTAAATTTTTTATTTGTTTAGATAATATTTGTTGATTCGTAATATCAAATGAATGTCCTGAACTATAATCACTATTACTTGTATTATCAGGTAAAGTAAAATGTTCAATAGATTTTTGATCTAATAAAATAAAATAAATTTAGCATGTTTTTATTTTATTATTTAAATATTTTTCTTACGTATTTGATTTCCATTTGAATTTCTTTTTATACAATGATGAAAGAACTAAAAAAAAAAATAGGATTCTTTTTTCTATTATATTGATTTCAAAATTGAAATATATTACTAATGTATGATGTTTTTTATAAATATCCAATTTTCTTAATGAATTTTGAACATCTTTTTGTAATAGACAATAAAATATAAATATTAATAAGCCATGAAATGAATTAAATATAGTAAATATATATGCAAATAAAATAGTTTGATCATAAAGATAAAATAATGCAATTATCCATGTTAAACCAAATAGAATCGATATTGTTGATACATTACGTAAAGAAAAACTTAAAAATAAAAATAAAAATTTAAAAACAAATAGAAACTTTTTTGCTTTTTATTAAGCAAACCTCATTTTATTTGTTTGATCGGTAGAATTGATTTTTTTACATATGTAATAAATTGATATGATAAAAAAACAAAAATTAATCTATAAAAATTAAAATTATTGTTCATTTTTTATTTTTATTTTTTTTATATTAACTTACAAAAATTATAAGTATAAAAGGTATAGCAAATGTCCAAATAAATGCATTATTACGAGATAACCAACAACTAAAACAAATAAAATGTGTTCGAATGGATTTTATTATATACGGTTTCATAGGACTTGGCGCATTGATTACTAATAAATATAATGGCAAACAAAACTTGACAGCAGGTGTCAAGCAGATCAACTAACAAGTTCCTTTTTTTTTTATTATTATAACACCTTTAGCATTGATTAATTATGTAATTTAAACTCACTGAATATACATTATTTAAGTTTAGCCTCAATATATTTTATTTGCCTGAATGCAAAAATTATGAAATAGAGCATTCATTCGTAATAGATAACCTCAAAACATGAGTTTATAGGTACATTTTTTAAAAGTCTGGTTAGACATTTTAATAAGAGAAAATAAGCACAAATATAGAACTAGAAAATTACTTAGCTTGTTTAAATTATATTCTCAAGATAATTCAATAATTTCTCATTCTAGTCGCAAATAAGATATAAAAAGAATTTGACATCTAATGAATAATAGATCGATTGAAAAAATTCAATGCAAAACTAGTTTAAAGGAGTTCATAGATAACATTGTCAAAAGAAAAATTATGCACAGAGATTTATATAAATTAGGGAGTATTTTATTTTCATGACGATAAAATTCAATGTAAGAAATTAAGAACTATTCTAGCTCTACATTTGGTCTGAAAAACCAATACAGGTTTATAAAAGTACCTATAAACGCATATATTAACGCTATCTATTACGAATAAATACGCTATTTTATTAATCTTGCATTGAAGCAAATAAATATTTTTTTAGGATCAACTAAAACAATCTATATTTAGTGAGTTTATAATAAATATATAACGACTACTACAAGTCTTGTGATAAAAAAAAGGCTTGTAGTTGATCTGTTTGATTTCTTGAGCTTTGTTCAGTGCGAGACTGATAATTATTAAAATTATTCAACAAGTAGTTTATTTTATTTTCATGTTATGTATATTTTAAAAACTAGACAACCTAGAATAATCTCGTTTTCGTCAGATGACGGCCCACATTCTTTAGTATTTCCTGCGAAATACTCCAGGCCAATCTATTGGTCTATTTACATTTAAAATCACGATATACTCCCAGCATGCAGTTTTTCATCGTGATAAAATTATTCAAACACTTTTCTCTTGTAAACTATTGTCAGCCTGTTCTAAGTAAAAATCTTGTTTATGATATATTATTCATTAGAAGAAATTGGGTTTTACAAAAAAAATTACTTTTTTTATCCTAGTTTTCATTTGAGTAAACATTGAAAAACAATGTTTTTTTTTTTCACTCATACCGGAAATTGTCAAGAAAAAAGCTCTTTTTTCATATTAAATTAAGCCAACTTATCATTAGCACGTGCACTATAAAATGCATGAGATATTCTATCGGAATAAATATTTCATGTTAAAAAATTGTTTGGATCGTCTGCTGTGCATCATCAAGGACAGATAGTCTTTCTTGTACAATGTCATTCACGCATTGAAAGAAATATAAAAATTTATTTTAACAGTATGGATTTGTGAGAAATCATTTGTCATATAAAACTTTTATAATTAAAATCAAAACTGATTATATCACTTAATTTATTTCATTTTCTCAGAATATAATTAACAAGAGTAAAATGCTCATCATAGTCTAAGCAACAATCTAAACATAGATCTCATTAAATATATACTTAATTTTTGTGCATCACGTCTATCTAGATAGATGATAGTATTTAGTATAATGTGCTAGATTTTATTGAATTTATATTTGATCTTTTATTGAAACTATGATAAGTTTTTACTCTTGCTATCTACAAAGTAACTAAATAAAATAACTTCGTTGATAAACATCGTCTTGTTAGTAAATTATAATCCATTCTAAATCTATATTACACACTATTGTATTATACGAAAATGAACAAGTAACCATCATATAAAATTTTACATGAATGCACATGGAATACAATAGACAGAAATGAGATGAGTATTCCAGGATTTACGAAATAAGCTATTTGTTATCTTCGATTCTTTCCTATACTGCTCAACAATATTTCTTCATAACTAGAGGTGTCAGCTGCTACTTCCATCGAGAGTGGCTGAAAAATGTTTAAATAGTTTGTTGGCCATCGGCAACGTATACCTCTATTTATAATGGATCTCCTTACAAAAATATGTTTTTTTCACGATGTACGTCTCTGAAATAGTGTTGAACTTTAATATGGGATACTCAAAGGAATAACAGAAAAAAAAGACTCATAAAATCAAATATATGCTATAATTGAAAATTAAACAAATTTGTAATCAAAACAAAGCTTGAATTGTCGAGGTTCATATAAAAAGGTGTCAGTACAAATCCTGTGGGATTATCATGTGAGATACGATGTAGCTGTTGTTATTAGCTCCAGGGAGATTATTTTATCCGATATATTTCCAGACACATTTCTTTTATTTAATCCTTCAGAAAGTTTAATAAGGAAGTAGTAATGAGACGCCATTGACATACAGTCTTTTATCGTATGTCAACAACGTGTATCACGTTCTGTGAAAGTACCAAATTTTTAACTTATATTTCAACACTTCTTTTTGATCGTGTTTTTGGCAATTTAAGAATTTCAATAAGAAGTATAGTAAGATGACGTTACATATGAAATTGGTTGACCATTCAATTTGTATAAATTACAAACAAAACCTATGTGATTCTTTTGAAGCAATTTAGAAGATCGAGTTTAGGACAGTTGCTCGCCGGACAGTTGCGCACGGACACTTGCTCGCTATAACAGTTACATAGGGTCCTATAGCGAGCAACTGTCCTAGGGAGCATGTGTCCGCGCGCAACTGTCCGACGAGCAACTGTCCGGATCTATAGAAGATCATCCTAAGTTATTGTATTTAAAATTAATTTGGAAAGATTCAACTAATTAAAAATTTCCTCTTAGTTAGATTTTAACTGAAAACAAACAATCGCTTTTGAATTAAATACAAAAAAAAAAATACTTGTAAATATGTTTCACAGTTATTTATGCTTAACTTTCATAGTTGATTTTTTTGATCATAAAGATATAGGACTTTAAAATATTACGTTTTAATTCTTTACTTAGACTATGGTTTTTGTTTTTTCACTTAAAAAGAAATGAAATTACTAGATATTATACTGATTTATCTTGAGAAAAATACGATTAGTTAACACATATTGATATTTTGCTATAAATCTTCATAATACGTACTATGTACTTGAAATATTTTTATTTTTTGTTGATAGTACTATTGAAAGAAAAACAATTATTAATGGAAATCCATATGAATATATTGAATAAGTTATTAAACGTATTCGATCGATTTTAAATACATGTTTCAATGCAAATAATAATTCAACACCATCAATAAACATCCATGAAAATGTTGCCAAAAGAAAATAATCAAGTAATATAGATATTATTTGACAACCAAACTAAAACCAAAAGATTTTATTTAATTTATTCAAAAAACTATAAAAGATTATTTTTTTCTGACTATTACTCTATGTTTTGTTTGATCAATACCAAATAGAAATAATATTTGTACAATAATTAAACATAATAACATATTCATATGAAGAGTATTACGAACCATTGTTAAATCCTCATTCATATCCATATGAAATCTATACAAAAAGTAAATTTCAGTTTAAAAATAAGCCGTACACATTTATCGATTCTTTAAATAATAAAAAGAAATTGAATATATACATTCGAATGATTCTCATCGATTGTAAAAACATCTTAACTTTCTTTTCTTCTTATTCATAGTTCAATATTTTATTTATATAATAAACACCGTTCCTCATATGATAGTTTACAATAATGAAATACATATTCAATTTTTAGAAGCAAGTTTCTTGAAAGAATCTATGAAAGGCAGACAAACAGCAGAAATTTTAGTCTTGAAGTCTTCTGAATTTTATGAAATTCCAGTGGTAGAAAATCGGCTTTGTTCTGAAAGATTAAAAATAGACTTTGAATGTAATCATATTTATAAAGATGTACTCGAATTAAAGTATCTAATCTGCTTCTTAAGCTTACTCCATACTGTAGACAATAATGCATGGAATTATGAAACAAAGTCTCTTATTAAAACTATTTATAGTAAAATAATTATGCTTAATAACTTAACCAAAGACAAGATTTACTAAATCCTGTTGAAGTATGTAAAAATTTATAAAAAAATCTTGACAAATAATAACAATAGAAGATGTTTCTTTTTTGGTCAGATGAATTAACCTTCATATTAATAAAGTAGAGAACAAATAATACTTTACAAACAATATCTACAAGATGTTCATTAAAAACGTCGATGAGAAGAAAATGACAATATCAAAATAATGTTCAAAGAAATTCTATAAAAATTTCGATGAAGTAATTACTTGAAGAATTTTTAGATCTATTGACGTTTGTTTTGTTCAATTAAGGTTTTTTTTTGGCACAACTAATTAACCAAATAACATGAAAGTTTCATTATTACATTTGCTTTCAATTTTGCAATCAGAGCTCAAAGATTTTAAATTCATGATTCATAGTATTAAAACATAATAATAGTACTTCTTCAGTGCATTTTCCATTCATAAATTCTTAGCTTCTGACATGTTTACTAAGTTTTTTCAGATGTGTTCAGATATTTAGCGGACTGTAGTAAATTTTGTGATTTGTTAAATTTCTGCAAAGTTCACCAGTATTTTCTATCTATCGATTGACTTTATTATAGGATGTGATGAGTACTAAATGTCGTGCATTGCTCCTGACAAGAAATTTATCAATTAATATTATTTATTCATTATTGTTCTTAACGTAAATATACTAATAAGAGAAGTTCTCTAACTGATAAATCACTTCTTAGTCAAGTTTTTATGGATTATATTGAACTGAATGAACTATAAATATCCTGAAAAGACTTCTTGTCTTAAGCTTGTTCCTACGTAGAGACTTCAGTTTTGCAATTTTTTTAAATGAATGGCATGGTAACAGAAACACTAGTGTTCGAATTTCGACTTGCAACTTTGCACAGAAAAAGGTGTTGACGAAAATAGTTTGCTATAAAAATTTCAGATCTTTTCAGGACTCTCATCCTAAATTGCAGCTATGGTAATAGCATATCTTTTACATCGTTCTTATACACCGGCGTATTCGATGTTCGCATTTAGAAATAGAAGTCAATTTAAAAACTTGAAAATTTCACAATAAAATAAACTATTTCTCGAAATAAAAGATTCCTTAGAGTGATTGACATAAAAGATACATTCTAAACCTTACGATTTCTATTCTATTCCGACCATAACAGTTTTTGTAGAAAATTTTCGTAGATGTTATTAAACTAATCTTGATCAGACGCTTTCTGCGTTAAAAAGACGTTTCTTCAGACGTCAAATACTCCTGATTAAGAATAATCTGTCATACTCATTTTTAGTTTTCATCAACGACTATGATCATAGCCATTATCCATTTGGTAAGCATCATATTGTTGGAAAACAGATATTTCAAAATTATCACTGATTAACAAATTCATATTTCTTCCTGACTTAATACAATGATGTCATGTAGTTGTATGAGTCTCCTTTTCAGTAACAACTAAAGTTTCGAGTGAAGATTCGAACATCAATTTTCTGTTATCGCGGCATTTATTTAAAAAATATTGCAAAAATACTATATTTCCACATGAATAAGCTAAGGGCATATAAATTTTCTTAAATTCTAATTTTTCCTATGACACAAATATCACAACAAACACAAAATATAAAAGTGCATCTTTTATTACAAATACAGTTAAACGATAACACACATGTATGTTACTATTTCACTGTATTGAACCAAATTCACTAAAGATATAGTTTTCTTCTTTTTCGTTAATAACTTCATCGTGTTCATTTATGGTTACCTTTATCTAAATTTTGTCAAAGTAACCCTCTAAGTACCAGCGTCTCTTAACAGAAATACTTTTTTCAAATTTCTGGCTATATTATTATTATATATGGATGAGATTGGTTTTCAAAATAGTTTCGATAGTGCTTAATACATGTCTTAAATATGAAGTTATAACGAAATTTTTTTCATTACCGAAGCCATGATATATAAAGGGATTAATACCGTTTCGGAAAAGAAATCGCAGCTTGCGATAAACTAGAAAGAATGACTGTAACTCTCGTCCAAGGTCATGGATCGTGACCGTTACCAAAAAAGTTCGTCATGCCGAGTACGAGTTTTGACTGTTAAGCAATTTATTAAATGAAGAACTTCTCTCTTAAATATGAAATCATTTACCGTATGATGATCAATATGATACTTGTCAATAGTAGACAAACAAGTGATATAATACATCCAATTTTTGAAATAAAAAATAAACGATTATCATTTGATTTCTTTTGATAATCCATAAATAAAGCAAATGTACTCAATTGATTACAAGAACATATCGAATGTGTTAAATTTGTTAATAATAATCGACATCCATCTGTAGTCCATTGTGCATGATCACTAAAAATACAATATTGAAAAAATACAAAGCTTTCTCTTCTTTTCTTTTCTCTTTTACTGTTGAATATTTTTTAAATGAACACAAAGTGGTATTTGATTTGATTGATTTAAATGACGAAATATAATTTGAATATTATCTATTGATATAATTTTTGGTATGAAATTCAAATAAACAATTGGACTATTGAATGATTGATTTATATTGATATTTGAAATTGTAAAAAATATAATTTGATATTCAAGATTTTGATCTAATTTATTCATAATTAATATTCTTACGGATTGATCAATATTTTCAAATTGAATTTGTTTAGACATAATAAAAAATTCTAACAAAACAAAAAAGTTATACTCAAAGAAATTCTTTCGTTCTTTTTTTTTTTTTTTACCAATATGATTTGTAATTGAAGTAAATGAATTCGATAGATTAAGTAATTGAAAACCAAGATATTCAATTTGTTTAATAAATCGATCAATAATATTCGAATTTGTAAAAAAATTTTCTTTATCAAGAACTTTATCAATAAATAAAAAAAGTTTCTAAATACAGAAAATAACCTTTTATCATTCAAAAAATTTAAAAAAAGAAAAAAAAAAGAAAAACCTTTGCAAAAGTTAATGATGAAATATGTTTCAAATATCGATCGATTTTATTTAAATTTTCATGAATTAAAAATTTTTTTTCTTCAAAACATTTTCCATTTAAATCATTATCAATCATTAAATCATTTTCAGTTCTTGTTGTCTATAAAATAGAAACGAGTCATCATTAATAAATATCAAATCAATCGATTTTTTTTTTTACATCGATATGTAAAATATAATGCATGAATGGATTGAAAAATGGACATTGACATATAACATGGCTATTATTTGAACATAATAATTGACATGCAAAAAACATATTTGTTGTACTAGATCAAACAAAAAAAGAATCTATGATTAATAAATATAAAGAAAAAAAAAGGAAATTATTTATACTCGACATGTAATGAGAAATTTGTTGAACGATAAGCGCGACATTGATAACGAAAATCAAATGACTAGAAAAAAAACAAAATACAGGGAAATTTTGTTTTAAGTTTAAGGTCAAGATTGTTGCAAAAAAAAGAAGAGAACAAAAAGAAAACATTTTTTCTTTGATCCTATCGATTATCGACAAAGATCTTTTGAACTTATGAAAATGATTGATGAGAATTCTTGATTGAATCTTTATAAAAACAAAAGAAGTATGAATGTTGTAATATTCCATCTATTGATAGATGGACAGCGACCTACTTATAAGAGTGAAATGGTATGTATACTAAATATTTTTGGTTTATTAGGTAACTCGACAAAATTGCTCGAGAAAATTTTTCTCATATCGCATTAATAATTTATCGATAACACAAAGAAACTAGAGTCATCGACGCTTATGTCGATATCAACGAAATAATTGAAGATTTAAAAAAAAACATTTAGACAAAGGCATAGATATCTTTTGAACTATCAAAATCATTTAAATTTTATAAATAACTATTAAACATACTCGATGATTGAATACAATAGTAACATTAGCTGTTTGTATTGAAGTTAAATAATTTTTTTGTTCAAATAAAATAATTGATTTATTTTTTGAATTTTTCATTTTTGTATCAATAACCATTATTGGTAAATTCATATGAAAATTTTCATGTATTATATCAGTACGATCAACAATTAATTGATTTGATTGTATATTTGATAATAAATGAAATTTACTTTCATTATTCATTGGTATATAAATTTCAAAAGCTAAATTTTGAAAATCAATACTAAATGATTTTGTTAATGAACATGATTGAAATGTCATTTGTTCAAATGCACTTAATAGACAATTCAATGAATCATCATTTGATTTTTCATTCCAATTCATAAATGACTACATTATTATAATCAAAAAATCAATCATAATTTAATTAAAGAAAGAACATTACATACAAGAATACATGAATTATCCTTAGGCAATATTTTATCGATTAGCCAAAAATTACATTCAAACATATAACTATTAGCTGAACGATGTGTTGATAACTAATCAATTATAGACAATCAACATAAAAAAAACACAAACAAATATAGAATATATAATCATATTACTTGATCAGATTGTTTTATTGGACATTCACAATTGCTATAATTCGTTTTTGACCATTGACTATTGAAATTACAAAAACGAATTACTTGACCTAACAAAAGAAAATAAAAAAAAATTTCTTATTCACAGACAAAACTTTTTAGCAAATGTACTTTTAAGTTTCCTTGTCGATGGTAATAGTTAAGAAGAAAGACATTTGTATAGTTAAAAGAATTCTCTATTAGGAGTGACGAATACGATGACTTTAAGAAAACTTCTTGTATGAAAATCTTCAGAAAACTAATTTTTTTGAGATTCATTCATAGATAAGACGTTTCCGTGCTCTCTATGACCTTCCTGCATTGAACTAAGTTCAATTGATAAAAAAGCCCTACAAGCATATTTCCGTTGTTTTTATTGAAAATTTCATTTTCATTGTGTTTAGCGCTTCGGGATCTTCTGTACATTGAATAAAGAGAGGTCATAGAGAGATCGAAGAAGATTCAACTTCGAATGAATTCTAGAAGGTTAGTTTCTCGCAAGTCCTTATATAAACAATTCTGTTGAAGTCTTCACATATTCATAAATCCTAATAATTCCAACTATACAAATGTCTTTTCAGTTTCTTATTCGTTATCACCATCGAGAATGAAATTTAGAAATATATATCTCTAGTAAACTTATGTCTATCACTATAGAGATTTAATATATGTACCAGTGCATGGAGAAGGACATGAAAGATATTGACTTTTATTAATAAGTGTTTTAGGCCAATGAAAACCTTGAAGTTTTTCTTCTGGACAATATTTTTTAATAAATCCAACTATTTGATTGTTATCTTAAAAAGAGTTAATTTAAAATGAAAATATTTGCAAAATTGTTTAAATATACTATATTGACAAAATGTTGATGGACATTGACAAGAAAAATCTTCTTGAATTTTTTGAATACATTTTAAATCATTTGATCTTGAACAATTAAGAATTAATTTTGAACAAATTTGTTCTAAATAAAAATTTTTTTTTTTTCTTTTTGTTCGGTTTTTTTAATAGAACAAAGAATGTTTTTCATTTCATTTCTCTTACTTTTATCAATACATCGATAATGAATTTCAAAATGTTTTGGAATATTTAATCCACATGGATCAGTGAATATATCATTATCAATTAATATTTGACATGTAGATTTTTCATGGCAACTAAAAGACAAAAAAAAACAAAAATATACCATGAATCAATTAGATATTAGAGTAAAATTATTTTCGGCTTTTATTTTTTTCTCTACCGAAGTTTTGTTTGATATTTTGATTGTTCAATATTTGCACATGTTTTATCAAAAAAACGATATGTTAAATTATTATTACATATTCGTTGTGATGTTCGTCCATACATTGAACGTATAATTTGAATTGTTTCATTTATATTTGAACATTTTATATAAAGTAAATCATTTTCACATACATGTTGTATAGTTATATTTGGTAAATGAATAAAAAAATCTTGTTCAAAATTTTCATATGATAATGAATGTTGAATATTACTGAATAAACTCAGTAACAGTAGGTAATAATAACATTCATTCATCTACAAATATATATATATCGATGTATAATGTTTGTCTATGCTTAGAGCGAATGCAACGAGCAGATAAATGACTGACTGGTTCGAGGCTTTTTTTTTTTCTTCTTGACGATGATGAATCTATCAATGTATGCAGAAGCGATAATCATATTAGACGCTTTCATTCATGCAGAAGATGATGAATATGATTGTTTTTTATACCTTAAATAATTACTTGTTCAACTTCAAAACAACAAATACTTTAGATCGGTACTAATTCAATTTGTGGAATTTCTTTACTATATTTAATAATGAAGAACTATAATGGAAAATAAAATAGTATTGAATCTGTTAAGATATAGATGTTTATTTGAAAAGGAAATATTCAAATTGAAAAATCATTACTAAATTTGTTTTAAATGTTAATCTAACATAACTGTAGGTGAAATATTCCTATTATAAACAAATTTTAAAGTACTTATACCTGATGATGAAAATTCTCATTCCTGTTGATTCGACAGATGTTTATCGTTTTAATTAAAAATAAAAACAATATGTATTATAGATAATGGAATAAAACGAGCGAATAAGAAATACACTCATCAACTGATATCATTTTACATTTGTCTAAAGTGGTTAAAACAGGAAAAAAGAGAACATGACAAACAAATATTTGTACATTGAAAATGAGTACAAGAGTGGAAAATAAACAATGAACAGGAGTACATACGTATAGAGAGTGGATTATAGATCTCTCTTAAGTCAAAAGTTCAAGGTTTTAACAATCAGTTGATATGATTAAATCTCCTTTACTTACTGTTGAAAGTTGCACAAGGTTATCATTAATTTATAAAGAGAAAGAAGGAAAGGAAGAGAGAGAGAGAGAGAACAATATATGTATATGCTTTTCGTATGGACAAACGTGTGGACGTGTGAGCAGCACGCATTTTCTATCAAGAGAGGGAGAGAGAGGAAAAGAGAAGGAGAAAAAAAAAAAAGCTTCACGTTCTTATCATCAGTATCGCTTTTTTTTCTTCTCTCTAGAGATCAATGGATTCTTTCTAATATTTTTCTGTGCGAGAAGAAGAGACACAAGAGATATTTAGATGTTCAAGAAAAACATAACTGAACGTTTATATATACAACAAAGTTCTTTATTCTTCTAAATCGAATCATTCAAGCATCGAATGAATGCAAATATGTCACACATATATACACGATCTTTTTTGAATTGAATACAAAACGGGTGACGCGTGTATAGGCGCTCTCTTTCTTATTCTAATTATATACTTGACTATAAATACAAACACTCATCATTTTTTATTTTACTTAACTACGCTGAGTTCTTTATATCGGTCTTATAAGATGAAAAAAAAGAAAAAAAGAGATTCAAGCAACAGTACAATTTTATTCCATTGAAAACTGTTCCGTTATTTTTTTGCGTTTCACTGTTACGTCACAAATATTTTATATGTATATTTTATAAACACTAGAGAAAGAGAAAAAAAAGCAAACGCCTTCCGGAATCGATCATCATCATCATCATCAACATTATTGTCGGCTTCATACGCACAAGCGTTAGGTGACATAACTTGTCTGAATAACTGTATGGTTTTTTTTTTTTATTCTTTTTAAACAAAAGAAGTGTCTAATGATAACTAAAGAGAAGGCGAGCATGTTGACCGAAGTGAAAAGGTCAGCGTTTTTGTTTGGACATTTTTTTTTATGATCTAAGCCGCTCATTCATATGTACAAAAGAATGTCCTCACTAACGATATCGCGTCTTATCAATGTACGTTAAACGAAACCTTACTATATAAGCATATCACCGACTGTCTCACGTCACAAGTCAGACATTGAACATACGATGATCCATTATCTTATTTCTAATAGATAATGGGTCTTTCATCACTCTTTCATTTTTATATTAGCCAGACATACATTTAACTTTTGTCATAAAATGTATGACTCGTCAAGTGAGTTAAATATGACACCAAACAACATACTCAAATCTCGATTAACGGACGAGACATATACTCAAAATGTGTTAAATGGGTTTTTTTGTTCATCGGTAAAGAAAAAAATTTGACGACATGCAAATCATCAAGGGAATTGTTGTTATTCAGATAAATCATTGATGCGTACTGTCATTCTCAAGTTTTCAAATTTTCGAACAAAAGTACTCTTTCATTATAAAGAACAAAAAAACATAATAAAAACCAAGACAAACTCAGCAGTAAATAAATTTATAGACATAATTACTTTGTTTTCTATTCATCTGATTTCATATCGCATATGTACATGTTATTGAAAGAATATATTTTTCGAACCTTTTTTTTTTCTTTTGTTTTACCTTCCTGCGTCATATCGACAGTTGATAGTAACTCTATACGAAGGATTTGTTTGTATATATAAATATCTCAATACGTAAATGAGATGACTGTTTTGTTATGTTCTACGAATGATTAATTTTGTTTTGAACGCAGATATAAACATAACTTCCGGAAGTTGTCTATCACTCGATAATGAGAATGATGAAGGCAAAAGAAAAGCAGAACATTACGTGAATAAAACTCCTGGTGTGTTAGCTAATGAGATGATAATCATACATTCAACTAGAGAATATACATTAAAAACAAAGATTAACGATATCCCTCCCTTCTTTTTTGATCATTTCTAATTCTTGAAGAGAGTACAACCGATTGAATTGAAAATTTCACTATGAATAGAGTACTAAGAATATGGACATATGTGTTCTAGAAAAATAATTTTCAAGAGAATTTTCGAGAAAATACTGGTTTTTCACGAAACCATCTCCTGGTACATTAGGACCTCCATCAAACATAATCCAATTGTAATGAAATATTTATTAAAACTATATCTTATAATTGTTTTTCAATGTTACTCAAAATCTGATTTTATTTTTAATTTTATGACGGAAATATGTAAAGGTTAATAGCCAAAATTAGGATGTTAACTTGCAGAACCTTATAAATCCTGATAAGAAAGTCATAAACAAAAATGGTTGATTTTACTTCTGAAGGATACTTCCAAGTATCTGTGGTAAAAATTTTAGCTCGACTGGATAAAATTAGAAGGAGTTCGTAAACCGTCAGGATTGAGAAAACTGATATTTGACGTAACACTAAGAAGGAAACTACACAGACAGACACCTACCATTTGAACTCATATTAGGTTCTCAAGGAGACCTCGGTAAGACTAGAAATATTCTAAAAGAGTTCGTACTCATGAGGCTCTGAAGCCGAATTATGAACATTTTACAGAATTTTTGCCTATAGATGGGTCCAATGACTCTGGGAGAATCCTGAAAAATTCAACCAACAAGAAAGTTGCTTTGTCGAGATATTAAATTTTCAAAAAATATGGTCGCGTGCCATAAAAATTGAGTATACTTGAAAATTCAATATCTCGACAAAAGGACACTCTTTTCGGTTGAATCTTTCTGGATTCTTCCAGAATCATCAGATCCATCTAATAGACGAAAATTCTATAGAAAGGTCATAACTCAGCTTCAAAGCATCATAGATATGAATTCTTTTAGGACATTTCACGTCTGATGGAGACCACCTTGTGGACTTAATAAAGGCTTACACAATTGATATCAGTTTAGGCAGTTCCCTTGTAAGTAAAAATAATTTCAATTTCATTCCTATCCAAAAAAAATCCCTTAAATTCAATAGCTTTGTAACAGTAAGTTGTTTAAAGTTGAATGATGTCTCCAATCGTACATGGCACTTTAGACTATCATACCATGTGCCCAACTCGAAATGAAATTTTTGATTAAAAAATAAGCCGTAGGCACCTTTAACTGATATTAATTCAAGAAAATATAAATACTTCATTTAGAATACGACATCAAATCTCTATACAAATGAATTTATAAAATGATAACTGCTGATATATTTATACTATTGAAAACAAAAAAAATTATCTTTCTGTAATCTTTAATCTCTCGAGATGAATTTTATGTGAAAATAAAGAATTAGTTAATTATTTTTATACACATCTAAAATATTTCTATCAGAAATTATACATTATAATTTTGACTAAAAAAGAAAATTAATAACAATGACAAGCATGAAAGAAAAAAAAATAGAGAAACTAACGAGACATTAAAACAATCTTTCTATACAACACAATTAAAATAGCATGAAAAGAATAAGGCAAATAAAAATGAATTTCTTTGTTTTTTTGTGTAATAAAATTCTAATTTACACACCGCATTTAAACGGTAGATATGAGCATAAAATGTCCGATGTTGAGGCGTGGAAAGAATATTTCTTTATTTAAAAGTCTTTATCCCAACCAGTTAAATCATCTTCAGGCTCAGGAGCATCGTCTTCACCAAAGAAATCAAAATTTGATATATCAGCATCATGTTCAATCTAATATAATTATAAATAAATAAAATAAAGAATAATTCAATAGAATATTTTACTTTTGGAACATGAGGTGCTGTTAATGTTCCTTTTTTTAAAAATTCCCAACTAAATCCTTCAAACCATCTAGAAGCAGAAATGACATTAAATCTTAAATAGAAATTAATAAGATATTTACTTATGTTTTTGAATATCTGCTATACCACCTTTTTGATATCCAATACGTTCAACAGGATTTTCTCTATGAAAAAAAACCTTATTTCTAAGTAATAAAAATGATTCAAGAGAATCTATACCGGCATAATCGTTTAATTAATAAGGCTGCCATTTTAGATACTCGACGAGGGAATTCAATTGCATCGATACCTTTTAAAATGACATTATATGTTTTCATAGGATCTGGACCAGAAAATGGTGGACTAAATAAGAAAAATAAAAAAGGATACTGAACAAAACTATAATTATAATATAACATACTTTCCATTAATAAGTTCAAATATTAAAATACCAAGAGACCAACAATCTGCGGCCATGTCATGACCTTTATTAAGAATTATTTCTGGTGCAACATATTCTAAATAAAAATTCACAATTATTTCTTTTTTTAAACATGTACAAATCAAA